AGCTCCTGTACTGTGAGTGAATTGTTGTTATTCTTTCATAGTCTGTTCCACATGCCTATCCTCTTGGCGTGCATTCCAGGTGAAAGATTTTTATATTCTTGTGATGTTTATTTCATGTAAATTATGATGGATTACATAAAGGATATATCTTATATTTGTATCAGAGAATAATCATTCCAGAGCAGATTAATTTTACACCTCTTGAACTGTCGTTTGTGTGATGCTTCTAACACACGCACATAAATACAAACGTATGTTCTCAGATCTATAAATATACGTCATATTCTGTGAGTTTTCCGAGCGTATGATTCATCCAGCCTTTTTTTCTGTACAGGGTGATAGCGGAGGGCCTCTGAACTTCTTCGACATCAACACTCGCAGGTTTTACATTGTTGGCCTTGTGTCCTTCGGTTATGGCTGCGGCGAGTTTCCTGAAGTCTACACGCGTGTGGGAGCTTACCTCCACTGGATAGAGAACACCCTGAACGACAGCACTCTCTGAATCAGTGGTTATTCTCAGCACGTACACCATATGCTTACAAGAAACTTCTGCCCCTCAACCATGAAGATTACACCGCGTCCGGGGAAATGATACCAGACTGACAGATGACTGCTAAAGAAACAGGCTTGCTTCCAGATTTCAGTACCACAGTGAGGATACAAGCAAAAGCAAAAGTTGGTATGCAACCAGGTGTCAAAATCCTTAATTCTGCTGCCTCCACGAAATACTCAAGGTATACAGTTTCCAAGAATGATCGTGAAGCAGAAACTACAAACCGGCATATGAGTAGCGAGCTGATCCTAATTTTAAAGTGAGAGGGTAAAATGTAGTTAACGTTCGTAGTGACATTTTGTAGATACTTATTATTTTAATTATTACTGCCCCTGCAATAAGCACATTTTTAAGTGCATCAAAGGCGTCTGTAAAATCATTTCATTATATGCAAGATCAATGTATATCCATGTTACTATTGTATACTGTTGTTCAATTATTAAATATTGTAACATAAGTTTATATATTTTCAAATTTTAACTGCATACCATTAGTATTTCCATATCTAATTGTAATCATTAATTTTGTAATTATATTACCGTTTATATGCCATATTCTTTACAGTCAAGTTGACACTAGTAGAGAATATTTTACTTTTTCCTGTTATGACAAAATTCAATTCCACAAAAGCTGTAGAAATGCAGTTTGGCAATAAATCTTCCAGTACTGGGCCTTCAGACTAATAAAAGGTGAAGCAACACAGCTAGATCGACCTGACTTCCTTATCCTTAGCACACTTAACACGACCACATCAGTGCACTCTGAGCAGTAGTGATCACCCTCGGCTGCAGTGATACATTTTAGCAACTTTCTTTATAACCTTATGTCCCATCTCATTATTCATATTGATATCCAGAATAATAGTCAATCACCGTTGGTCTTTGCAATTTAGTTAAATTAGTTATGAGAAACTAACTGGTCTGCTATGATCGAGCTAAAGGCATTAGTTTTTTTATAGTTTTATTTCCACCACCTGTCTATCGGTTAATCACTAAAAATAATGTGTAGTGTAGTAAAACACCATTCTGTATTAACAACACTCCAAATATTCTATGTCTAATAATACGAAATGTATGTAAACGAGTGTTATCGTATAAGAATACATAAGATTTGACGTATAGGAGTACTCCAGAGTCCAGTGTAAGTTGCCTAAGATTGATGCAAAACTTCCAAGCCACAGGATTCTAAACAAAAAAAATCAGGAAAACGAATGTACTTGTTGCATTGCCCGGAACAACAACAAAATTTAACTTCCATTTATTGCAGTGTTGTCCAAACTGGGGTCCGCATACTCCTGGGTGCGTGAACGAACAAGGAACACACACACACACACAAACAAAAACATGACATGGTCTATGAATCATCTCTTTTATTCTTGTATTAAATTCAAGTTTTTATTGACCAACACTCCTGCAATGCAGTCTTTTCATAATTAGTATATTATTTGCATTATCCTAAATAGAACAGTTTGTTTAGCCATGGTGGACGGAGGAGGGGAGGGAGGGGTACGTAACCCAACAAGAATTTAATAAAGGATACAATAGGCGAAAATGTTTGGACAACACTGATTTAGCGATTCAGAATATACTCTGGACGGGATTTAATTACGCGACATAGCAAAATGCCAAGCTTCACTAAAACCTATATAAATGTGAATATACAAACGATAATTTATTTTTTCTAACTTGATAATCATCACCAAATATCATTTTGTTATACGATGATATTATGAAGTTAGGCCGTGAGAAGAGAACGTTTTTGATGAGTAAGCCTTTTTTAATATCTTACGTGTTTCAGTAACCGCTTAATCAAAAGCTCAAACTTTTCGAGGACAAATTTTCTTTTCAGCTACTGCCTTGAGAAACAGTAAAGACCTAGGATTACATATATATTTATATATATATATATATATATATATATATATATATATATATATATATATATATATACATGATGTATATTTTCATATCTATCTATCACTATATGTATATATATAAAGAGAGAGAGAGAGAGGTATATAGATATACATATATTGTATTGCGTGCATGTACGTAAATAAATCTTTCACTTAAAATAAATCTTTCCTATCCCTTACCATCACGACTATCGTAATATCACATGCTAGTAATTCATCGATCGTTCCGCGGATCAATTCTTAAGATCCCAACGACTATCACTTTGGTAGCCTTGTTGTAGATTTTTGTGTTAATACCCATGCAACAAGTAGTGACATTTCACTTTATATGAGGTTGAAAATAAACAAATATCCTATGTGTGTATTCGTATATTTTACATTTTATTTTTCGTTATCGACGAAAAAGATCTTGGTTCAGGAAGTGTATATATTACAGCGTGTTGGTTGGTTGTGGTATTCTGCTAAAATGTGAACGAAGATGAAATCAAGGTCTAAATTAGTATATACTTATGTAGACCTTGGATGAAATGGCGTGGCCGCTATGGCAAGGAAACTCTAGATGGTGGTTTCAATAAGACAGGAAACGTCATCGCTTTCCCATTACGTTGTAGCAGTGTAATTTTAAAGTGAATCCTGTTTATCTTATGATCAGAGACGGGAGAGTAAAGGCGTGTAAATTCAAGGGTAAAAAACGTACCTAGTGATTGTTCTTTTGTTGTGTATTTGCTGGTTTCGAGTCCCGAAAAAAATTGTATAATTGTTTTTGCCGTGCCTCATAACACGTTAACACACATTCTATGCTGTATGCCATGACAATATTTTCATTTAGTTAAAGCTGTCCAGTGTTCGTATCACTACAAATACTTCAAGCTGTGGTGATTTTTTGAGGTGAGGAGCGATAACTTTTCAACTATATAGGACATTTTTTCCATACTAGTTACTGTATTTCAACCTTTTTTGTGTAACACATCACAGCTGAAAACTACAACATTTCATGTTACATGCTATGTGCACGGCAATCAATCAAAATAGCGACAATCATTTCTCCACTAAAAGGGAATTTTACCATTACAGACTTTTTTCTTTCTTTATTTTCTTTTCTTTTTGATCTTGTACTAACATCCAAAGTCTATATAGGTCTAGATATATATTTTTAAAGACCAAGCTAACACCGACGTCAGTCTCCCGGAAAAAAAATAACATGGCCTGGGTTTCCCGTAAATGGAAGCGCTTAGGGAATTTCCAGATCCTCATAACACATGCCGTAGATATCACTATAATAAATGTTTTGTGTTTCGGGGGAACTAAAACATATCCGAAAGGCTAAAATCACCATTATTTGCAATTGAAAATTCCCTTCTTTTAAAGATAAAAGATATTGCAGTACTTGGGAACCTCCTGCATAGCGACAAAGCTGGCTTGCTCTTGCCTGGACGACACTCTGTCGTTCTTAAGGGCACAGCGCTCATCTCTCGGTCCTTCGTGTGTGTGTACGTTTTTTCAAGCATTTCTGTTTGCATATTGATGGCCATAATGTTTGGACACTGTGCACTGTGTAAACACTTACACGCACGTACATATATACACACACAAACACACACACGTATATATATATATATATATATATATATATATATATATATATATATATATATATACTTTTTCGTTTGCTCTGTATTGCCTTAATATCCTTCCTAATAAGCAGTTAATATATTTCGTCTTCAGGAAGATGCTGTGGCTGGGAGTGATCGTCTTCGCCATTTGCACAGTGGACGGGCAAAGTAAGTCACGTTTTTTTATATGTTTGTTTCTATTATTATCATTAAAGCTAGTTTTCATGGTACTAATGATCCTAATTATGCTAACATTGATTGTATGATCATTGCAATGCTATTAATATCGCTATTGTTGTTGTTTCTATTCATACGAGTAATGCAAGCTAATAGAAAAAATAGATGCATCCAAGATTAAGGAAAACAACAACAATAACAGTGGTTATATCTGAAAAGTATGACAATAGCATGGACAGCATCAGTGGCATCCATAGAGAAGATTGGCGGTGACAATAGTTGCATCAGATAAGTGCAGTTATTGATGAAAATGGCATTAATAATTACAATAATAAAACTAGCGAAGAAATAGTGATAACGATAATAATAATGATATCGCGAACTGCAATGGTAGGTCTTATAACAACTAATGCTACTGTTGGAAATAATGCGAATTAATAGCTGTAGTGTTCATAACATAATTACCATTACATGTTGACGTTCAAAAATTCGGCAACTTCCGGTCCTTAAGGTGCCGTTTTTGTTTTTTGTTTTTTAATGCCGGATTTCACACTTCCTTTCTGTGCTGAAGCCATCATGTGGCTATACAGGAGCAAAGAAATGATAAAATGAGCAAAAATGTTTATTAGCACGTGCAAGCTAGACGCTACAGCTGATCTGGCGTACAGCGCCATCAAAACATAACGGCGACGCCAGAAAACTGGTGCGCCAACGCGGTAAATTTGAAAATGCACTTTGAAAT